TGCCAATGCCCATTTTTCACCACTGAGAAATGGTCCCTCAGGTCCCCTCAGAGAAGCTGATGATGGTAGAAGGGAAAGGAAACCAAGACACATGGCACCTTTTCCCCTGCTGCCCTCTCAGGCTCGAGATACGGACAATTTTAAGCAGGTCCACTTCTGGCATTCTCCTGGCTGTGTGAGAAAAGAGGCCAAAGATAGCATCAAGATGATTTCAAAGAGCGATTTTAACTACACAGCTGAGTTGGTGAGGAAAAATATACTAGTGCCTCTTCATATTGGGACTTTGTCTAACAGACGAACTCTAGGACTGTAAGAATCAGCCTAAGCAAAATGCTCTCTGAAACCTGCAGAATATATTCAAGGGTAGGTAAAGCAGAGTAAATATCATCTCTCCCTTTAATTTTTCACTTCTCTTGTGGCTTTTTAGATGAGACATCATATTTTAGGCAGGCGAATCCCCAAACATTTTGTACAATGACAACAGCACTAGCAGCAGGGTACATTGAGAGTCAAGAAATACCTATATGAGCACAGACCTGAGCATAGTCAGAAATAATTTCTAAAACTCAGACATGTGTGAACGCTTGTCTTTTCACTGCAGAAGGCAGCACTGTTTCCATCCCTGTCAAGTATCAGTGAATTTATTCAGCATGCTTAAGAACTTGACAGATTTTTAAATTATATTGTGAGGTATGGGTTTAAATTATTTCCAACAGTAACAGCAACCCTACGTCAGGATTAACAGGTAAACAGAAGTGAAGGTTCAATCTTTTCTTCCACTCATTCTTTATCTATTTCTATAGCTTTATCTGCACACCAGTGCATAAGAAAAACTCCTGAGTTTTATTAGGACATCCCTGAAATGCATACATTAAAGTAAACCCACAGAGCTCTGTTAAACAGATGTACTGAGTGGTGCACAGAGAGAAAGGCTTGAACAGGACATAGCGTCTGTTCTCCCTTTGTACCAGGTCTTCCCATGAGATCTATGCTTCACTGCAGCCATTTTCTTGTCACCTGGAACTGGGAGATACCTAATACGTGAGAATATTTGGGTCAGAAACTCCCCCAGGCTATTCAGAGCCTCCCCCGTACTTGATTTTCCTCAGAGTAGCATCTGATCATTCTGTGCTCCCTCTTACACCCACAGAGTTTTAACGAGGACAGCACCATCTCTCACACATTTGAACTACAATATCTGTCTTCCAAAAGACTGACATATCTGAAGAAACATCTGAGTTCTAAATGAGGATAGCTCAGGGAACTAAAGACTGGTCAGCCTGGCAAGGACATCCTCCTGGAAGAAGGCATTTCCAAATGGAAGATGAAGAAAGGAGGAGGAGGAGGAGGAGGAGGAGGAAGAAAAAGCAGAAGAAGCAGAAGCAGCAGAAGAAGAAGCAGAAGAACAGAAGAAGTTGTCAACATGGATATATGAAGGGGAAATCATGTCTGATGAACCTGAGAGCTTTCTGCGCTGAGAGGACTGGGAGGCTGTTGATCTTGACTTCAGTAAGGTTTCTGACACTGTCTCCCATAAAATCTTCATAGACAAAACAATGAAATATGGGCTAGATAAGTAGATACTGAATTAGACTGAAAACTAGGTGGGCTCCTGGTCATAAAATATTGTGTTTGGAGAAAAAATGTCCAGTCATTAATGGTGTAGCCAGGGGCTGATAATGCAGCCACTACTATTTAACAACTTTATCAGTGGCCTGGATGATGGGACAGAGTGTACCTTCAGCAGATTCACAGATGTTACAATAGTGGGAGGAGTGGCTGACATACCAGAAGGTTGTGCTCACATTCAGAGGTGCCTGGATAGGCTGGTGAAATGGGAAAAAGGAATATCACTAAGTTCAACAAAGGGAAGTGGGGAGTTACAGAACACACTGCAGGCCACGAGTTTTGGAAGCAGTTTGACAGAAAATTACCTGGAGGTCCTGGTGGACTCTAAAGCTGAACACAAGCCAGTAAGGTGCCTTTGTGGCAAAAAGGGCAAACAGCCCCTCAAGATGCATCAGGAGTGCAGCGGGATGAGGGAGATAGTCCTTCCTCTCTGCTCAGCACTGGTGAGTCACACCTGGAGTGCTGTATTCCAGTTCTGAGCTGCCCAGTACAAGAAACATATCGACACGCTGGAGATAGTCCAGAGAAGGGTCACAAAAATGATGAAGGGACTGGAAGACATTTCATTTGAGGAGAGGCTGAGAGAGCTGGGACTGTTTAGACTGGAGAAGAGAAGGTTCAGGGGGATTCTTAACAACGATTATAAATATCTGATGGGAAGACGGATCCAGACTCTTCTTAGTGATGTCCAGTGAAAGTAAAAGAAGAAAGGAAATTCCATTTAAACATTTAAAAAGGTTTTTTAACTGTATTTGATTGAACACTGGAGTAGGTTGCCCAGAGAGCTTATGGAGTCTTCATCCTCAGAGATATTTTGATTGGACACTGTCCTGAGCAACCTACTCTAGGTGATCTATCTTGGAGCAGAGGGTAGAACTAGATGATCTCTAGAGGTCCCTTCCAACCTCAGGCATGTTGTGATTCTATGACAATCCAGAAGTCACTGTCTTCCTGCCAGTTACAAGAGAAGGCTCATAGACTGGAGCCAGAGAATGGAGAAACAGAAGGAAACATTAGAGCAGGGATTTCTCATTTGCTTTCAGTGAGTATGCTACTGACACCAAGGGATGGGGAACACCAGAATGAGGTCACAAATGTGTACAACAAAGCTTACTACTTCAGTCATGGTAATTCAGCATTTAGTGAAATTTTTACCTATCTTACAGGCTCAGTTCATATTTAAAGATAAGGAAGATTTTCTCACCTCCACACACACACGCACACACACACACAGAGCTTAATCATAGCTTTAATCAAACCCAGAGAAGCACAAGCATGACCTACAGGAAACATCTGCCATTGCTAATGAGGCCTTCAGTATTTTCACTAGTTAAGGCCTTGGTCAACGTCTTATTTGTGTCCCAGCCATCTGTCCCTCCATATTTGCTGCACCTAAAGAAAACAGGTCTCTACTTTCCTTTAGGCACCAAGTCCCTTTGAGAGTTAAAAGCTGGTTTTGTGACAGCAAATGGAAAAATATGAGTATCACTGCACAGCTACAGTGGTAACTGAAGGATTCAGACTGGATGTCTGATCTCCTTTGATAGGAGGAACAACTAAATCCCAGTCAGCTAAAGAAGTCCAGTGTTGGTCTGTGTGTACAAAGCTAGTCCACAGAGTTAATAGAGGGTATTTCAGAACATAGGAACAAAGAAAAAAAGCATTTTGCTGGAGAACACAAGCTGCCTAATATATTAGCAGTAATCACCCCAATCCCATTAATTTACTTTATTTGCCTGCCTTTAAAATATCACTTTGCAGTGATAAGAAGAAGTCTTCGTGCTGCACCATATCCAACTCCCCCAGTCATTTCATGTAGGGGTTTATATGCTCTGGCCAGGAAGTCTTCTCCAGCCTGACACTGAATATGTCAGTGAAGTGTCCCTGCTGTTGTTTACAGATGGCTCTTATCAGCTGGCTCTTACCCTGTTCATTGCATCTTGCAGGTCTTGCACTGACCAACCCCCAAAGAGTACAGATGACAGCAAATTCAGACACAGACACTTCCAACTCTGCTAATCTTGCCTTATGCAATTTCTAGATACCTAGGGCATTCAACACATTGGCTTTATACAGCAAACACATCTACTTAGGAACCTTGCAACTGGAATGCAGTTCCTATGAGAAGCATGTGCTGCTTCTGTTCCATGCTCAGCAGGACAACCCCACTTGTGCCTGCTGTCAGGATTTATATCCTTCCTGTAAATGCTGCAGCCTCATACACCTCAGCAAGAACACCTTGCCTGGTGATTTGCAAAGATTTGCTTTGATTCCTTTCACATAGATTCTTGTCTTATACATGGTTTTCTTCTTGTACCTCTCAGAGATCCAGAGAAGAGAAGAATCTGGGCAAGACCTGAACAGAATGATGTTCTTTTAATAAGACTGGAGAATAAGCTCAAGAGGGAAGCAGAAACAAAATTACCATCTTCCAGACAGGAACAAGCAGACTGCACAAATGTCTTTCATAGGAGGGTATCACAGTGTACATGACCCAAAACTTGCCTGCTCTTTGCTGTGCTTATGGATCCCATGTACATGAGAGATCTTTATCAACATATAAATACAAGAAGCTCTTAGGGGAACAATTTGATTATCTCTTGTACTGAATACTCTGGGTCAGCCTTCTTCTTAGGAATGAAGATTAGATATGACAGGAACTCGTGCCTAGTGTATCATTTTTTCCAGCTCATCTAATAAATCACCTCCCACTAAAAACTGAACTGCTTTATAGCATCAGAGGACCATAGGAAAAAAAAGCAAAACTGAAAGAAAAAAAACACTCTACAACTATATGGAAAAAACACAATAGGTAAAGAACATTTCTGTCAGTAAACACATGGTAACAGCAATGCCTCTCACTGAAGTAAGTTTGAAGAGATGTATGTGCTGGCTACTCTAAGCTTTTTATTAGGTATTTAGAAGAAAGATTAATTTCAGGGAGTTATTTTATGATTTGCATTGCTTTGGGCCTGTGCAGTACTGCTGTGTGATTAGATTATACATGCCATACACTTCTGTTGCTGCTGAGAAACTATGTGGAGATTTGCTAGCAACACCTCCATACAACTAAGTTACTAACAAAACTGTGGGAGAGCATAAGAGGAGTGACTAGAGATACGTAGAATCACAGCTGTGTTCTCCTCTTGTTCCTGTACCAAAATGGCGGAAAGATCTTCATAACAGTGTGTCCTTAGAAGGACATCACTGGCTTTTGGGAGCACTTCTAAGGTGTTCACAACATTTGCTAGCACTGTCAGAAGAGTTTTACAAGAGCATCCATGCTTAGAATCAAAGACTTCTCCAGCACAGGTGAGGTTTCCTAAGATGATGCTATGCTAGGCAACAAGGTACAGACCCAGGGACCTTACCTGTCTCTGAGGACCAGTAGGTTCAGATTCTCGTCTCCTTTGTCGGAGAGCTGGTGCTGAATGTAAGGGGGAGTGGGCTGGACTTCCTGTCGGCTGTTCATGTCTACTGTCAGACACTGTTTGAGAAGGTCCTTCATGTCTATGGGAACTGTCCTCCTCAGTCACAGGCAGCATACCCCGGCTTCGCCCATCATGAGTCTTCGGCCTCACTGCAGCATCTGCCCCCAGGCGCCTTCTCTCTTCTCCATCTTCAATAGGCCTTAGTTCCTCAGGCTCCTCATCCGTGGTTCCAGAGGTGCTTGGCTCAGCACCAGGGTGGAAGTCCTTCAGCTCTGTCTCCTTATCAATGATAACCCACTCCTTGCTGTCAAAGTCCTCCTCTTCTGCGAGTGGCACCGAGCGGAAAGCGTTGCTGAGGGCTTCATGCTCCACGGAGGCGGACACATCCATTCTGCCGCTTGCCTGCCGGTCAGCCTGGCCAGTATCGATAGACAGCATCTGGGCTGGCTGCGAGGAGCACACGAGCCGTGATGGAGAGCCAGGGATATCCATTCGAGACCTAGAGACACAACAAGAAGCTATTAAAAATGCATCAGGTTTTTGGTTTAGAACAGGGATCACAAGAAAAGCCTGTTTAGGCTTTCTCACTCATTTCTTGGTACCCTTCAGAAAGACAGGCTTAAACAAAAATATTTCTTTAGAGCCTACAAGGTGTGAAGTGCTTAAGTATGACAGCCAATTCAGCATTTCTTTTTCCCTGTTGACAGGATGATAACCATTTTCCCCCAACACCTTTCCCCTTTGTTAAGTTCCATTGGCTTGTGACAAAAAACCCCTCAAACCATGTTCTGATCAATTGGCCTGCATCTGCTGCTTGCTTTGCTTCTCTGCCTATCTCAGAGACCAGCAGCTTGCTGCACAAAGCCAGAGCATCCACTGCCCAGATTTTAGGACAACTGCAGTGTGTTTTCAACAAGGATCATCCAAAAGCCTTGCAGACTCTTCTGGCGAAATCCTTCCATGTGTGAGACATGAATATTTTTGACAAAGAAAGGGGAAGTAGAAGAGGAGGTGAACCACAAGTCAATGCATATGAAGTTGTGAGCATTGGCTGCTGATCTAATGATTAGGTTGGTCTCAACAGCCAATCCTCAAGACTCTGCTAAAAGCAGCAGGAGGCTACAAAGGGTGAACAAACCTTCTTTCATGAGGATCTACTTTTCCATCAGCCGTGGAGAGCCGCTCTGACTCGGGGCTGTTGATGCGGCGGTAGTGGAGGGAGCGCACTTGTGCAGTTGGGGACTCTGGAGGCACTCGGACAGGGGAACTGGGGCACACCCCATTTCTCTGCTCTTCTTCCACTATGCACTGAGTCTGGGGGGGTGAACACAACGAACTTTAAGATCTGGCCAAAGACATTGATTTCCATCCTTCACTGTTGCTCTGGACTTTCTCCCGAGTACACTTTCTGCTGCATTTTCACAATCTACACAAGCAATGTCTGAAGGGATGAAGGGTCCCTCTGCCCTGGCAATCAGATGGTATTAAAATAAGATACAGATTAAAGATCAATTCAAATATCTAAACATCTTTACAAGGTGGCCTATGCATTTCAATTATCCTGAGTGCTGATCCAAAGGAGTTCTCATGGATTAACCTACTGCACACACAAACCCTAACTGCTTATCCAAGAGATGTAAGAGCCTTGTTTGTCAACATTCAATTAAACAGAGGCCATGCATTACATTGCAATGTACAAACTTTTACATCTGGTTTGATGAAGGCATCTCCTAAGTACCGGAGTGGTTTGGGTTTTTGTTTGTTTTAATCTCGGTCCTTTAACAAAGTCTTCCATGACACCCACTGAGCCACTACATCTGTAAAAACTTTCCGCAGAGCTAAGGTCATGCAGGGAGCTAAGCACGCTCATGGACACTATTCCGTATTTCCTCTTTCATATTGCCTTATTAAATTAGATTTTTTAAAATTTAGCAGCAGACAAAGGAGGAGAAGTAGGTGACCAACACAGGTGCCCTGTGCCTTCCACAGGGCTGATTTTCCCTGGAAGAGCAGGGCAAAAGCACAGAGGCAGAATGGTCCAAGGGCCACAGCAGCAGCACAGGAATTTGCATTCAACACAGCTGTGTTGCCAGCCATGCAGCATCAGCTGCTACACACTGCCTCTGTGTGGGGATCTGTATGGAGAATGCTTACCCTTCCCTGCCCTACATTCCCTTGTCCTCTATTAATGCTAGAGTGTCTGAACATAAGCAGCATCTCAGTAAAATGCTGCTGATCCAGACAGTTGCCTTTGTGCATGCAACACATGCACAAATGCGGCAAGCCAGTCAGTGCCCATAAATTAGCAGACCTAAACCACCCAAGTTAGAGTTGGAACGCATAACTAAAGAGCCTTTGCAGTTAGGGAGAGTAAAGGAGAACCTTCAAGCATTAGAGGAAAAACAGAATAGATGACAATGATTTAATCTGTAATCCAGTCATGGCCAGGAGGTTAGTGACAAGCGAAGGTCAAATGTGCTTGTGAAGGGAGCAAAGTGCTGATGTAACTGCTCAATAGCATCCACTTGGTAAGATTCAAGAGAAGAGAACTGGGGGATGGTGTGGGAGAACAGTGACAGTAAGCCCTGTCCTTAACATGGAAATGGGAGAAGTAGGACGGAAGGAGATCTGAATTGTCCACATAGAGAAGTAAGGATCATCTTAGACAGTTATTAGGGAGAAAAAACATGGCAAGCTCCACTCATCCCCCAAATACAAAGAGCCAAGACAGGGAGAGTCAGTTAATTCTAGTGCTACAAGACTGGAAGATGAAGAATATGATACTGTGAATAGCACAAGGGTGTTTAAACACACCAGTGCCCTTGAGGTTCTGATGCCTCAGATTACAAGCAGAGGTAATACCCTTAATACCCTTAGGTATTAAATCGGAAACATCCTTCTTTTCTCCACATGCTGACTGTTACTTAAATAAAAACTGATCCTCTCTCAGACAACAGTCAGACTAAAGATAATAAGTCCAGCAAAGCAAAAGGACAGGCAAGAGTCAAACTAAAGATAACAACCCTCACAGAGAGAAAGGACTTCAGCTTTGGAGAGCTTGCTGCACAGACTGCTTTGTAGCTACAGAATCTGTCAGAGCTGAAGTGCTCACTGCCATACTGAGTAACTCCCTAAGCTCCTCTGGCAGCAACCTGACAACAAACAGCACAGTGCCTGGCATGAGAGTCACCTGGCTGTGCTGTGGAGCTTCTAGAAGCCTCTCCTGCCTTTAGCTGCTTTTATGACAGGACTTGTGAACGAGGTACCTGAGACATGACACACAACTAGCACGCAGAAAGGACTCCCCTGTGCAAAGTCTGACTGAAGAGCATCAAGGCACCTGGTGGTAGAAATGAAAAGAAAAACACACAGAAGTTGCTAGGATTTTTCTGTAATACTCTTTTAAAAAAATATATGTTGTGTGAATAGAACTGTCCCTCTCTATCAGGCTTTTCTTATTCCATATACCTTCAAATGAAAACTTCTGGGAATGCAGAGATACCAGTGAGAAATAAAGAAGTAATTTGAACTTGGTTTATAATTTCTCAGTGTTGAGGCATGTCCCTGCTCATGTTCCATACAGATAACACACTGATCAGAATTATTTGCATTGGAGAATTTTAAGTAAATTAGATTCGATTATTTCTTGTCCATGCACAGTGTTTTCTAATAAGACTAAGGATAGTAGAGAAACCTAAATTGCTAAAATAAGGACTAACTTTGTACCAATAGAGACTGAAGTGAATTCTGGTCAGCCCCAGAAGACTAACAGACTTAACATACCAGTCTACAAATGTCCTTAAAAGACAGGTTTGTGATGTGAATCTCATATGCCCTGTTGAACGTTTCGCTGCTAACAGATTCTGTATGTATCTGATGACCTGCCACTGATTTACTTGCAATATGTAAATTAACCTGATTAATAAACTAACTGATAGATTCTTATACTTGACATTTGTCATGGAATCAACCTTCACTGGGGATGCCTCCAAGAAACATTCACAAGAAAGGACTGAGAAACACCTTAGAGATTATGAGGAAAATCAACTCAAGCATACATTTTATGTAAGCTAAAAAAGTTTAATATGATCTTGGAATGCAGAAATATGAGAATATTAAGTGAAATCTCTCACTCTTCACAGAGGTGAAACCATTGTTAGATGCTCTTTATAGATTTTCCTACCCTTAAAAAAGAAAGAGAAAAAAGGAAGAGAAAAATGAGAGATGATTAAAGAAAAGTACTTTCTTTAAGGTGATGGAGACATCTGATTGCATTTATTTACCCAAGAGGTTGGGACACAAAATTTTGGTTTGTAACTTCCAAGCCTGGGACATTTCTGATATTGTGTCAGCCATTCAAGGACTAGAATTTCCTTACTTGAAGTATCAAAGTCCTAGATAATGATACATGGTACAAAAGATTCAATTTAGCATTACTGGCCCCTAAAATGTCACTTACTTAAAGATCTAAATTAATCTCAACGGCTTTTACTCTGAGAAAAAAGCTGTAATTTCCTCTTGCCACAGGAAAATTCTTCAATGCCTTTTGGGCTTACTACATAGGATGCTACACCAGTGGATCTGAGTGGCTTCTAGCAGTCAATGAAACCATTGCCCTATATCCAACCGTCACAGGAGACAAGGAAATGTTCTTTACTTTGCTGATGCTGATCCTGAGTTTGTTGCGATTCACATCTGTCTCTTCCCAAACTTCACCCTCATTGAAAGCTGTGTTTGGAGCCTGACCAAGACCTTCCACTGGCCGACCTGAGAGGATGGGTGGAGCATTCTCTTGATCACTCAAATGTTCACCCTGTAGGACATCCTCAGTGTTCTCACGGAGCAGGTCCCCGGGTACCGGAGTGACATTAACCACCCTATAAAAGACATAAGAAGAAAGGTAAAATTATCAATATATAAAAAAGGAAACCTATCACTCTGCCCCATAGGAATTCCTTAGCAGATTTTAGGGTATTACTAAGTTGGAAGACAGGCAGTCCCAGATAGGACATCCTGAATCAGAACAGGAAGATTCCATGTAATGAAAGTTACACAGACAGTGGGATGGATCAGTGAAAGCATCTTGGGACCCTTGATACACAGGCTGAAAACTTCTTCACAAGTGCCCATCACACCATATTGAGCTGTGAAGAAATCTCTTCTTTTGCATGAGCAAATGAGGCTTACTAGGCCTTATAGTTTTTATCTTCCATAACATTACCAGGGATTATTGTTACTCCACAATGTCAGTCCCTCAAAAGCACCAAGACACACCAGTGAACCAGGTCATACCAAGCCTTTTCTATTTGGACTCATCTGTACCTCTGAACATCAGTCTCTGCAGCACATGAAACACATTGTAAACAGGCGGAGGAGCTGTGCTGGAGGTGTGAGCAGTGCATGCACTCAGCTGTACTCAGCTCACTATCCACCACCACAGACATAAATTAATATAAAAAAAGTCAGATCCAGTGGTGCGTGCCATGCTGCTCCAACTTTCCAGAATCATAATGGTCTTGAAATCTAAAAAAAAAACAACCTGAGCTTGTCTGACTGTCTGAGTGGTACAACTGCAACACTCACCCAAACATGGCTGCTGTTTGCCTGGTGTTCTGCTGTGGTGGAGTTGAGGTGCTAGTGGACAGCAAGATATCTGTACCAGCCTTCTCCCAGTCAAAGGCTTCATTTTCAGTGATGCCCCTTTCTTTCATGCTGTTCTCAAAAACTGACATGATTAGCTGGAATAGATTTACAAGAACAATTTCTGGTAAGTAGGTGAGAGTGGCTCTCACCAAAAATCTGAAGTATGTGCATGAGGAACAAGTGCATTTTATAATCTCCAGTTTGCCTATGAAAGAAATGAAAGCAAAACTTATAAAATTGCAACAGTTGTTTCTCAGGTTGATTTTACCTTCATAAGTGAAATTTCTTCAAACCTACAAAAGAAATGCATGCAACATTTTGACACTGATTCAATTAAATCTTGCAGTTAGCTTGTTACTCCAACTCTAAATCCATAACTTCAATTCACTTTCCTCTAGATTAGACAGTACATTATGCAGAACAGTACATTTGATATGCAGAGTTCAAGGGCTGCCAAAAGACATAAACAGAACAGGAAAAGGCAGTCCTAGGATGCAGACTCGTTGCGGTGTCTGGTTGAAATATGGCTTAGTCAGGAGCCCTGCATTGTGCTTAATGTACAAAATGTGTCTTGACTCACTTGGCTGCCTAAGAAAACTAAAAAGGATGATACCATTTTCTTTATAAGATGGCAGGTACAAACCCTCACGCTGATGTGCTTTATGCTTGTTGCTTTTTTTAACAACTGTTATCCTCTAGGAAAGAAGGACACTACTCTCAGTAGTTCTCCATGCACCAGTGCATTAGCAGAGAAATCTGATGTTCTGCTGTCAAAAGGAAACTGGATGCTGTAAGCCAACAGAGCTGTGAGGTCCTATATTTCTAATAAAATTATTTAGCTAAATAATGCAGAACTGACAGGATTCAGCCTGTTAGTTCTCCTCTACAGAGGGAGACAATGTGATGGCAAATACATTTGGCTTATGGTATGAATCAACACTAAGTTATGAATAAAATTTAGCATGAGCAAACATCCTATTTGCAATTATATTCCAGTTCTGTTTATCAGTCTGATCAGAAGGACAAGACAGCCTGCCATTTCCTACCACCTTCCACCAAACTGCAGCAAAATGTTCATTTGCAGCTTTCAGATGAGCCAAATTTTTCCTCCTTTTTGTGACCCAAAATTCTAGAACAGATGCACAGAATAGGTGCACACTCCTGTGGTAACGCTACATTTGATTAACAGAATTTCCAGAGCTGGCTGTCAGTCAGACACAGGAAATTCTTAGGATTGTATCTGTTTTCTGACTGCTACTTTGGAAATTATTACTGTCAAGTATCTTTTAGACATGAATATCCTCACAAACTGAAAGACACGTTGCAAGAACTCCACACATTTCTAGATGGATGTCCTTAAAAAAGCCATACTGGCTTCTGTTCTTTAGATCATCTTCATCCATCTGTCCACTAATCCCAATCTTGTCACAGTTTTGATTCTTTGTGATGGACATGTCAGTATCAGGGAGTGGTATCTTCTGAAGCTATTTAAAAATTGGTACTGTTTCTGCCACCTTCCATTTCTTTGACACTGAAGCAGTCATGATAAAATCAGACATTCGGCTGCCTTATTCTTAGCATTCCTTCAAGGACCCATTCAGTCGAAACAACTTTTGTTACTTCCTGATATAACTTATTCTGTAACTCTCGCACTTGACTTTGCAGGCCATTAGGGATTTTACAGCCCTTTACTATACTCTCAGTAGGGTCTTTTTTCATGACAGAAAGATACAGATATACAGATATCCTCATCTGCCATTATTTTCAAGCTATTTAATGGACTTACTGAGTCTTCTAAGCTTTCTCTGAAATCTTTACACTTCTGATGAAAGGTCAAAGCTTTACAAGGAGAGAAGTGGAGTGGAAAACTGCACAGAACAGTCCCAGCAACAACCACTGCTCCTGGAAAGCCATGCAAAAAGTTACTGGATCTTGTCTAGGGATCCTTTGTCTGCAGATAGAATACTAAGAATCAGAAGAGTTTCCACAGTCACTGCAAGCCTCCCATGCTGAATTTCCTTCTGCTGTGCAATTACAGTTCTGAGTATCAAAACCACTAGTGGGATAAAGAAGAGGTCCAGTATGTTTCTCTATTAAAGATATTACTGTCCATGAGGACATAAAGCTTAATTGCACATTATGTAGTAGCATGCCGCATTTTGGGCTGATGGCCCAGAGAATGAGAGAGAAGCAGCCAGTGGGGCACAAATTACCCACTAAACTGTCATGATGCATCTTGTCAAATGCCTTCTCCTGGCCAAGGCTCAGGAAAGGAATCACAATCAATCCTGAAATATCACATATAAAAGGTACCAAAACAGTTATGAATTGTCCAGGCACTCAAGCCTTGAATTCTTTGGGGCTTATCTAGGAAGATGGACTCTTTCAGCAGAAACCTTGGGCATAGCAAATTGCTCTTGCTCAAGTTTCTAATCTGCACTGTAATCTACAACACAGTATCTAAGAACAAGTATCAGGCACACCTCTTCGGTGGCAGGGGTCTCCTTTTGATAAGAGAATGTTCCTGATTTGTGTTTGTAAGTCCTACAATAATTTCTAGGGGGAAAACAGTAGGACTGTGATAGAAGATAATTAGTAACTTGCTGTTCTGTTTTCAACTGGAATAGAGCGCATTTTATTCCCAACAGCTGGTGCAGTGCTGCGTTTTGCATTTAGGATGAGAAGAGAGTTGATGATACACTGATGTTTTGGCTGTTGCTCAGTTGTGCCTACCCTCATTCAAGGACTTTTCAGTGTCCAATGTTCTGCTGGTGGGGAGCTGCACGAGGAACTGAGCACAGCTGGGACAGCCGACCCAAACTGGCCAAAGGGATATTCCATACCATAGAGTGTCATGCCTAGTATATAAACTGGGGAAGTTGGATGGCAGGGACCAATTGCTGCCTGGGGACTGGCTGGCATCAGGCAATTGATTTTGCATCACTTGCTTATGTTGGGTTTTATCTTTTTTTTTCTTAATTACAATAATGATTATTATATACTACTTGTTTTAATTTTGATTATTGCATGATCCTTGTCTGAACCTGTATTTTTTTTTGTTTGTTTGTTTTTTTTCCTGATTCTCCTCCCCATCCCACTGTGCAGGGGGTACAGTGAGTGAGCAGCTGCCTGGTAAACAGCTGCCAGCTAGAGCTAAACCACCACACTTGGTCAGCATGAGAGAACTCAAACCAGCACTGGTTGTTCACAGGGAGTCTTTCCCAATTGCTCTGATAATATCTGATATTAACTGAATCTGAAGGAAGATGTCCATATAGGAAACTTACCTTCCCACACCTGCTCAGGATGTGTACAGGACAGCCATTCTCTCATACAACAGCTGATGTGATCATTTTTCCTTGAGTGAAATGCAATCCACAATGTCATAGCTGAGGGAATAGGAAGGATTCCCAGGCAATGGCACTTATATTTCTATTATCTTCCAGGAGCATAGGTCACTATTACTTTTCTGATACTCATTGCAAAAAGATCTTTGGGGAGAGAAGCCAGCCACCTCCCCAACCATACCTGAAACTACTCCTCTACCAGCTGGACTGTATGCAATTGTAGTACAAAATATTTTCTACTACATCCTATCTGCATTTTTCTAGGGAAGAAGCATGCCTCTTGTTGTCAAATGACTCATAAAACCCCAAAAGGCTGCTCTAATGCTCATATCCTCCTGCCATGAAAGTGCTGAAAGTTTGATCCTAACCATGAACCAACACTGACAATGATGCATTAAAGGGACAGACCTAACATCTGAGGCCATGAGCCCAAAAACACAGGGTATAAGATCCATCACCTGAGAGCTCAAGTCTATTTTATTCTACCATCATTTTCCTCTCCTCTGCTTAGGCAAACTTGTGTCATCTATCCATCAGAGAGTAGTCATCTCTGGTCACCCTTAGTCTCCAGTTACTGTCTGGTACTTCTCTCTTGGAGACATCTCAGGGGCCCAGAACTGTGATATAATTGCCACTCAGCATGACATGTGCTTAGGAGAATCTAAAACTTCAAATTCAATTAGATTTTTAAATAAATCATGACTTATATATTAGTAAACATACTTTCCCAATTTCATTTATTTCTCTGTGGGTCTGATACTGGTGACAAATTCAAATGGCCTCTGGTGTAGTTTTTAATATTTCAGAGTAATACATCCAGATAATTCAACATAAAGAGATTTCTGAAGCTGAGATGCTTGGAGAATTTACTGTCTGGAATAGGTCTCCAAGTCAAACTAGAAGAGTCAGTGCTAGGTGGCCAGCTGCAGATGCCAGACTTTGGTGGGGAGTTCCCTTTTAGAGGCTTCTTGCCCAAGCTGCACCTGCAAGAAACTGAAGGCAAAAAGGCAATTCACAGCTTCAGTCAAATGCCCTACTGTGAAAGAGCTGTTTGTGATTTGTACTGCCTGAATGCTATCTGGAAACATCTCCTTCCATTTCAGTCTCAAGGATGGCTTTTCGGTATCATTAGGATACAATTATTTTAAACTGGAATAGAATATAGGAGTATATATGTTCAAAAGCAGCTTTGGAAGTCTCTAATCAAATCACCTGCTCAAAGCAGAGCTAATTAAAAGGCAGATCATATTTGTCATCCAGCCAATCTTTGGAAATCCCCAAGGATGGAAATGTCACAGCTTTTCTAAGTACCTGTTTTGCATATAAGAACCCACACTCTGTGAATTTACCACCACCCCTAGATTTAGTCACAATTTCCCTTGCTGCCTCTATTCTCCCCACAACGGCCCTTGAGGTAGTGAAACATAGCAATAAGATCCCAACTTTCCCTTCTCCAGAACAAACAATTCTAGCTTTCTCTGCATCTCATCAGTCCACTTCCATCTCTCTGTAGCTCTCCCTCCTAGTGGCAAATGTTATTTTTCCACTGCACTATCCAGAAAATATTTGCCTTTTCTTTTCCTTTTAATTTTTAAAAAAAATTGTGGTTGCTATGTTACAACGTGTACATGGCTAAACCACAATGGCACTGTTGGAGAGTTTGTTAGAACACCACTTTCCCACTCATTTGATTCACTATCAACAGGACCAGGCACTCAGCTAAGACTGCACAGATCTGCTTATAAAATGTTGTTTCCATTGCAGTAATGTACAGAGAAAACCACTGTGATAAAAAAAAAGCAACACAGAATCAAGTTGCTTCAGTTCTGTTGTGTTAGTCTGAGTTACTCACATATAGACTGATAGCAAACACTGAATGGGAGAAAAATCCTGTGTTAGATTAAGAAAGAGATAATAATGGCCAAGGCCTATATGAGTTAACAAGAAATCAAAGGGGTTGGTGTGCACCACTGAGCTTTCAGTATAGGCTCTTAGACCTTGGCATGCTGTGCCAAAATTCTGTCACATTTGTAGTACCTCAAAAATTTTTGTATTGTTTGGGTGGAACTATCTGGTGTGAAGTCCAGGATTATTTTTGACAGGGTGGTGGAAGGAGATGAAGAAACTCTTGAGGTTTTGAAGAACTATACAGTCCAGCCTCTTTCTCCCGGTTCTAGGAAAGGTATTCCTCAGCCAGATATAAACACATTCATGGAAATGTTAAAAAAAAATCTAAATGCCAATCTAGAGTGCCATGCATCACACTGGTAACAAAGATAGGCTCCCACCTGATAGTCTGGCTTGGTGAAGTAGTCTAGGCTTGCAATGTGATCCAGGAAAAGGTGGAACTCTGAAGGCATGTGTTTTAGCAGCATTCGGTGTTCATACTTTTCTTTTATCATGCCAACCTGCTCCTGGGAAAAAACCACGACAAATGAAAAAAAAATTTCAGAGCAAAGAATCTCTTCCATTGCTTCACATTTATAAAGACTTATCATTCCTGGAACACTGACTCTTCCTAGACCCAGCACAGTGTCTACACACTTCTGTTTGCTGTCCAATGCACAAGGAGGTTGAGCACTGCAGGCAGAGGTCAGAGGGGAATCTTGAGTCAGAAGCTTGCTGCACAGGTGACCTACTTCTTTCCAGGGATTTTATTCTTTAGCACAAAGTATTTCCAAGACAACATGAACACTTAGCTTTATTCTGTTTAACTTTCTAATTTTAAATCCCATTCGGCTTGTTTGGCACAGCAAGGTGTTGCCCTCCCGTTTTATTAAAGGCTCTTTTTATTTGTCAAAAGAACAGCTCAGTCTTTCCACTTGTACTCTCTGTTTACTTTGCAAAAAAAAAAAAGTAAGAATAACTTGATCAAATATGACTAACAATGTACACAAAAAAAATCTAATTACTCCAAATAAGAGAAGCCCACCCTGTGTATCAGAACACACAAAAGCAGGTTAGCACCTTGCAGCAAGATCTGATGAAAAGGAGATTCTGGCTTGACTCCAGAAAAAAAGCTGCACTGAGCTGCAGGAGGAATAATAAAGAGTGATAATAATTAAAATGCAGCACCTTCTCTTAAGCACAGACACCAATTTTCCTACCTTATCTTTGATCTTTCTCCACGGAAGCTGACCAACGGCAAACTCCACCAACATGTAAAAGAGGGACCACAGATCATCATGTCTACCCATCTCCTGGAGAAAAGAGAGATCGAGACTGAGGAGCAAAGTTCCACACTGCTGAGGGATCCAGGTGTACTCTCCAGATGAGCTACCTCATTTTAAAGGGCAGGAAGAGAAGTCATACTTCCCAGTCAATGATTAAAGCCAAATTAAAGGCTAAAGATACATATTTACTAATGGGACACAGAATAACCTAGATTAAGAAAAACCCCAAGCTGCATATAGAACACTTTTAAAATTAGTATTTTTAAGTCTAAATATCATTCGAATTTGCTCAAGGGTGTTTGCAAAAGACTCACCATCATGCACCACAACAATTTACAGATTTATAGCATTTCCACATACAACTCTCCTCCTACATGAGTGAATGGGAAATGGAAATATGGGGATAAAGGCTGAAATTGTCAAAGCACATGGATTCATTTTTGGTGCTCAACTTCCAATGTCAAGGATACAATTTCTCAAAATAGCCTGCATTATACAGCAATTTTTGTGTCTAAATATACATTCAGCTGATGCCAGCCACAGCTGGGCCTACTCAGGTCTTGCAAAAATTATACCTCAGGTTTCTCTGTGTCTCTCAAGAAACAGAAAGAATTCATTATGGCATTCAGCTGCCCTCCACACATCACACTTTCCACCTTTTGTAGACAATAACTTCCTCCTTCCCAAAAAAACCCTGACACTTATTCGTATGTCACAGGTAATCCTACAGTCTCATTCTAAGTAAGGCCAGAAAACTGGAGGTAATGCAGGAGGGCTGACAGTTTCGATCTGGAAGGCGCTTAGCAGCAGAAATGCAGAACACAGAAGATGCTGAGTTGGAAGTGACTCATCAGGATCATCGAGCCCAACTCCTGGCCTTGTGCAGGACACCCCAAGAATCACACCCTGTGCCTGAGAGTATTGTCCAAACTTACTGTTTACTGTCTGCAAAGGAACACTACTGAAATATGAGAGAGGAGTATTTTGAGAAGAATGTTAGATGAACCTTCTAGAAGCATTTATAATGAAACAGGCCAGACACTATGCAAATAATGGTTCTTTTCAGGAAAAAAAACCCTAGCTTTCACCAGGTAGCTCTTCTTCTGACAGCACAATGCCATTATTAAAAATTACAAATGAAGAATGGATTTGGGGACCTGGCACTTGGTAATTCCTGGCAAAGTTCTGCGAGAAACTTGCAGCAAGCAGCCTGGCACTTAACCAGATTTCCCCTTCAGTGTGGTTTACTTTTGCCCATTAAAAAGTGTCTGGTAATGCAATAATTACAATTTTAACGTCTGCCAACTAGAGAGAACCCAATAACTGAAGCATAATTTTGATTTTACAGTCAACAGCCTTAACTACCTAATGGAAATCTTATGATATATTAACTTCCATAGATAACAAATCAGAATTCACACCTCTTGCTCCTTTGCTCCCAAAACCAGGTTCCTGAGGGGGAAATTATCTTACTGGCAACTCCTTGTAACTCCAAAATACTCACCCTGTTTTTGTGTGCATTCACAGAGGCATAGCGGACGGTTCCTCGGAATCCAGCAACGTTGCGAGGCTGAAGGGAGACAGGAGAAATATCTCAGAAACAGAGTGAATGATTGAATCCCTCGTGCAGCCAGCTCCTGAGAACTTCTTGTCTAAAGTGCTATTTTGTATGCACCCAAGGAATACAAGGCTCTTACTGCCTTCTTGTGCTCTTGCAGCTACATAGAGAGTGCTCTCCAATTCTGCATTTCTAGGAAGGCTCACTCTGCAGAGGAGGCAATGTGGTTACAGCGCTGTGTTAGAACAGTAACAGTCCAGGCATAGAGATAACATTAAGCAGGATCAGATTTTCCTTTTTCAACTCCAGGTCAAGGAAAAAGCTAGTAAAGAAGTACAAAACTAAGTCATGAATAAAATGAGCTAAGCAAAGCCTGAAGGTGGCCTGGTCAGGATGGAAATGGGGATCACATGCTCTGACAGATGACCACAAATGTTTGCTGACACTGCTGGTTAGCATCTTCTGTAGGACCTCAACAAATTATGAACCTCTGACTTCTAGAGTTCTTGCCTTTTTCCAGGTTCTTCTCAGTATATTCTATCTTTATTTTCTCTTTCCCTGATTCTCTTTTTCATGCCCTTGGGAATTAAAGGCTTGATATAGTGGGTATTGGAAGGCAGTCCTCCTGTGACTTATTTGTCCCATCTGAAGGCTTTCTCTGCTTTGCAGGCTGAGCAACTGTTCCAACTCTTTCTACTGTTGCCTCGGCAAGAAAATTAGACCATGTGAGTTCACTTAATGCAGATGTTATTCTGAAAAAACTTGCATTTAAATGATGACATCCACCAAATTCTCTTAGTTGAACTAGAAGCACCAGAGTTAACAAGACTTAACAGCAGTGCTTTCAAAATTCTTGTGGTAAACCAGATTCAAGACCAGACTTCTTCCATCATAAGGCTAAGTTTGGGCAAAGAACTAAACATATTCAAAATGAAGATCCTACTCCAGCAGAAAATTGAGCATATTAATAACAAGTTAATTGAGTAACTTGTCCCACAGAGATTAGTGGATTCAGCTTTGTTCTTTCACCTCTGCCTGTACTTTCAGAACTAAGCCTAAAACTCTGTACTTTGATTCTAGGGCACCCTTCTGTCACTTTAAATATGTACAATTCAGTTGCTTCCTTTTGGGTACAGGGAGGTTGCTCTGAATTTTGATATTCTCAGAAAGAATTAAATTTCAAATGCTTTTTTAACACGTTCCCTAACACCATGTAACATATCCACACCTGTATGGTGTACAATGCAGCTCTTATGTCTGAGGAAAAAAAAAAGCTGCAAGTCTGTCTTACAACTCTTTCATGCTAATCAAATACTCACCAAAGAGAACCCATATGCATATCCCGTGCACTTAATCCAGCATCTAATCTTGCAGTGCACCAACTTGAGCTATAAGATACTTATTTAGCAGCAGGTAATAGTAGAGATATTATATTTGTGATCATGTACCTCATTGCTCTCAGAACTATGCAATTCAGGATTCCCACTGACAAATGACTGCAAAATATTTTTCAGAATTCCAGAGAATTCACTCATGTGAACTCCTGAAAAGCAGAAAACTGGCCACTGGAATATAGCCAACACCATAAATTTGTTCTATACACTCAAAAGAAAGAAGACATTCCTCTTTTCCATTATGAATGGAAGACAGTGTCTTTGGATACTTTTCATGAGTCATAAGGGTGTATTGTGAACAATTCTAACAAGTAACCTGTAATGTTTTCAGAACAAAAATTATTCAATTTTTGCAGTCCATGCAAGTACTGAACCAAGTACCACATGTGCTGGCTTCACTACATCTCTAAAAATTGTTTTAGATCAATAGTTAGTAAACTATTTCTGGCAGACAGGCTATCTGAGCAGTCTTTAATTAGATCTGTTCTGAAACCAGTGCCAAGCAGTTTGCAAGCAGTGGTTGCAAACCTCTCCTCTCTCAGAAGCAAAGCAAAGCCCAGCTTTTGGAGCAGGCCTTTAACCATGCATCAGCCAACATGACTGGCTACTCCCAAGCACTCCCACATCTGAACCCAGGGGGTTTTCCCTCCAGTCCTCTCTCACGTGGGACCTCAGGGAAGGGAGAGTACTGCAAATGAGGAAGACTTCGCAATTACTTTGATAGGACCTTTAGAGCCCTTTGACCAAAAGAGGCAGATGCTAACTGTGTAACAGTGTCTTTTGCTCATAAAGGTTGCGCCTCTTTTAACCATATTTGCCTATCTTGCCAGTCCCAAGGAATTGGTCACTGCAATCACGTATTTCCCAGGCTGTGGAGATACCTTGTTTTCCATCCAAACAAATAGCTCCTCCCTGAGCATTTGTTGTAGCACATGCTGCATACCGAACTATTACTGACTTTTCTTCTGAATTCATAAACATTAGTTTTCTAGGTGATTTCTTTACACACTTCATTTCTTCCAGTTAATAAACTTCATCCCACCACTGCACTGACCAGCAGTGGAAAAGAGCCTGGATAAAGCATCCTTGTTGTCCACACCAGTCCACAGCTGACACGGAATTGAAATTGCAACAGTTAGGAGCTCCAGACTAGGGAGTCATATATAACCCAACTGATTTGAATCCCCAAAATTATGAATATATAATAAGCTAGCAAGATGAAATACAATTTTAAACCACAGCCGATTTTGTTTTTACGCATCAGTGTTGCTATAAAAAACTGTTATAAAGCACATCTCTTCTTTCACTGATACTGTGACTACTACAAAGCTAAATTGCTTTACTACACAGTGCTGCATTGTTAGAAGCTTGGTTTAAAATGAGTTTCAGCTTGGGAGAATGTATTAGATCACTACCACAGACGAAAACCTATACTTTGTGTTCCTTTCACCACATTAGCAATGTAGACTACCTCACAGACGGAGACAGAACGAAGTAACAAAATCCTGTATGAAGTGGATCCATTTTCCAAACTGTGCTCTTATATACCCATAATTCTCCAGGTCAAACACTCAGGATCATTTCAAGTGCCAACAGTGTCTCCCTCATGATTTACATGAAGTCTGTCTTTCCTGCACACTTCTCTTTTATTTGAGGAGTGCTCATATTTCCTCATTAATGTGAATCCCTGCTCCTCACACCATGCTCATTCACAGAGATTAAAATTATTCTTTTTGCCTCACTGGCAAAAGGAAACTGTATGTTTTGAATGTCCCAGTTTCCAGCTGCCTTCCTAAACACTTGCATTTGGATGCCAGTACTTTCCTCCTGCTGTTTCTTCTGACTGTGGTATTCTCATGACCATGACCAATGGTTCCTCCCCAGCTTTCTGGAAGCCTGTTAAGACACCTCATGAGATGCACCACCTTTGCAGGCAGGCCTGCTGTCATCTAGGATATTAACCCATCTATCCTGGAATCAGGAAAAGGACTTTCAGCAGTAAGAACATGAAAAAGAAGCACAGTTTGAAGAGAAGGTGATAATGAGAGAGGAAATGCCACAGGTCATGGAAAGCATTTGGAGATATATCTTGGATATAAATGACTTGTTGGAACGGTTGTGGTAAGAAGGAAAAGTGAAAGAAAGCTGTAACTGAACTAAAAGGAAGTATCCCTGTGACCCCTTGGAACCTTCTGCTTCTTCAGACAGGTTCATGAGGGAGATGTAGCGATATGCCTCTCCAACTCTTCTGGTGGGGACAAAATCCACACCTCTTATATGCATTTTGACTTTTTAATTTAAACAGGAGCATTTTGTAGAATCATTAATGACTGCATCATATATTATGCCCATGAGGAGTCAGAAATGAATAGAGGAAGCTGGAGACAGAAAAGATGAGAAAACTCCTTTCCCCTTGCCTCTGAAACCACAGAATTGACAAAATCAGTCTGGCACCACACAAATATCTGCCAGCCCCTCAGGCAAAATCCCAAGTGTTCTAGGCCTTTGCATCACATTTAGGTAGCTGCCACAATCCTGCTGAAAAAAAACAGATCATGAGAGAAAAAGGAAAACCAGGTGTAATTTGGACTTCCATATATAACAAAAGCACAAACCAAAATGAAAACCCAGAAGCATGGTGATGGCTCACTCACAACTCATAGCAGAGATGGTTACGAGCAGCGGATGGGAAGCCAACGCATCAAACACAGCCTCAAAAGAGAAACCCAAAGAAACACATGATAAAAAAAACAACAAAATGAGAAAAAAATTAAACAGAAATGAATTAAAAACATTCAATATTGTATCCAAACAGAAACCTGTGTCTCGTTTAGCTGTTGCCATCTCTGATCACCCTTCCCAGAGCTGTTGGCCCATCCTGGGCTGAGTTTCATTTAGACATGAAGCCTTGCGTGAGCCTGTGATTTGTGAGTGCTCTGTAAGTGGTGAGAGGGGCCCCTCTACGGAGAACCTTCCCCTGCCTGCATATCAGACCTAATAACTGGAAAAACAAAGCTGAGAGCAGCCAAGCAGACAGCCTTACTACAGGTCACTTATACACTTCTACTGTGATTTTCCTTCCTACAATTATCTGATGTGTACACCTCCCTTCCTCCCCAACCAAACTGATCTAGTAGCCCACAAGGGGATTTACTCCCTCACCTCTTGCCCTTTTCATCCAGAGCAAGTTCTAACATTAGCACATAAGTTTCTCAAAATCAACAGTCATGTCCCCTTTCCTATTTGAATTGTTACAGGTTCTCACCCAAGATATTTGTTTTTTTTTCTGCAACCACTACCTTGCTTTCTCACAATCAATTTCTATACAAACAGTGTCTTGCCAACTTTACAGGTTTCACAGCTGCCAACTTCAGGCATGCTCCCTTTCCCTGGTGGCTGCTGCCATGCTCCACTGTCCATGCGGAGATGCAGAATGGTGGTTTGGGAGAGAGCAGGATGAAACTCAGTGCTGCTTTTAGGTCACATGAGCAGTCATTGTATCTGTGAATGGCACAGTAGAGAAATCTGAGGGACATCCCCACTGGAGGCAAGAATTAATATTATAATATATTAAATAACCTTAAAACTCAATTTAGTGACCTGAGGAAAGACCTTGAC